GGCTCTGATAACAAGTGCTGGAACAGAAGAAACGTACAATACTAAACCCTCTGATGACCCTCAACGCGTTTTTTCGGCCGCTTCAATGCTGCTTCATAAATGATAGGCAGATATTGCTGCATATACTAAGGATTCTTGGTATCTGTGTGTGTGTGTGTGTGTGTGTGTGTTTATATCTTAAAAGGTAAATGAAATGATTCATGAATAAAGTGAATCTTTTTTATTCTGATCAGATTGATTTTACCGTTTTTATGTTTGGTGACTCTATAAAATTCACTACTGTTCATGCACGTTTGACAAATGTGACTAGTTCTGTTATTTCTGTTCTAGTTTAAGTTGTTTCTGTTTCCTAAAACACATTTTTAAGCATGTTTGGGCTATTAAAATGTCACAGTCTCTCAGAGGCCCCAAACAGAGCGCAGGGTTATGGTTTGGGTTCAACTGTAGTTAATTTGCTTTATATAAAACGAGTGTGTGGTGTGTCCTCATTTAGATGAATGTGTGTGAGTGTAAGCAAACATGTATGCAGTTTGTTTTAGGCCGAGAACATGAAACTGAGTCACACACTAATGCCACTCCTCAGTGCGGTATGAAGTGAGTGTGTGTGTGTGTGTGTGTGTGTGTGTGTGTTTGAGTGTGAAGAAGGATTAGGAACAGATGCCGTTGTTGGCGAAAAGCCACATTAACGGAACGTTTTGTAGATGGAGATGCTCTGGTTCTGTCCTGATCTCTCGTGTGTGTTTATATCCACCAAATCCATAATGACATACTGTTTTAAAAGCACGCAACAGTTTTATTTTATCCAGCTGCTAGTAACTCAAACCTGGATTCCCAGAAACCTGTGAGGTTTCGAAGAAGTTCTGAGTGGTTTTAGCACATTGCTATGCGGTTGCTAGGGTGTTCTGGGTGTTTCTTTAATGTAAGATTTGTTACACAGCTCAGTGGTTTGTTATGAAAAACTGAAAGTTGTTGTTGGGGTCGCTTCCTCAGTCGTATTATTAGACGTATAGCAGATGGTCAGGAGCTCATGAATATTCAGTACTGTTTGTTCATGCTTCTCTTTACATTCTCAAAGACAATCATGAGTTTGTGGGAATGTGTTTGTGTGTATATTTGAGTAAATAAGCGCCGGCCGGGTTTGTGAATGTAGACTTTTGAGCAGTTCCCATCCCGTCTGTTTGCAGTCTTCAGAGGGTGAGAACTAGTGATGCACCAAAAATGACCGAAGCCACTTTTAATAGCCAAATTCAATGACAGAAAATGTTTAATTACAGCTTATTCTATGACGCGTTTTGACTGTCAGTGTGTATTTCGTGCATACAACATAGATAAACTACAATCGGTAAACATGTAAGCTGTGTGGACGCTAGTGCTGGGTTGACAATATCAATTTGTTGTTTTTAATCCATCTTTGTTTTCCTGAACCGTTATCTATTAGAACCGTCTCTGCTTGTGTTCGGTTGATGCGTGAACAAAACTTCACTTAATATTATTTGTTGAGTGTTTACTTTACCATCTAATAATCACAATAAGCTTTGTGCTTTGTTACTTTTGATATGAAACAACGTCTGAACTTTCAAATTCTGTCAATTTTATATAGGGCTGGACGATATGGCCAAAATTTATATCACGATATATTTCTTAATTTCGGTCGATACGATATAATTCCGATATTGATATGAACACTATTAAAAAAGCCTCATAAAAACGGCCAAGAAGGGCCACAACAGATGTCTTATTAATATTAATATTTTTAACTTCAAACTATAGGCTAACATACCTGTCAAAAGTTTTTGAACAGTAAGATTTTTTATGTTTTTTAAAGAATTCTCTTCTGCTCACCTAGCCTGCATTTATTTGATCCAAAATACAGCAAAAACTGTAACATTTTTAAATATTTTTACAATTTAAAATAACTGTTTTCTTTTTGAAAATATAATTTATTCCTGTGATTTCAAAGCAGAGCTTTAGCATCATTACTCCAGTCACATGATCCTTCAGAAATCATTCTAGTATTCTGATTTGCTGCTCAAAAACATTTATTATTATGATGTTAAAAACAGCTGAGTAGATTTTTTTCAGGTTTCTTTGATGAATAGAAAGTTCAGAAGAACAGCATTTATCTGAAATAGAAATCTTTTGTAACATTATAAATGTCTTTATCATCACTTTTGATCAATTTAAAGCATCCTTGCTAAATGAAAGTAATAATTTCTATAATATACATTTTAAAAAGAGCTTTTGAATGG